TAGGTATTTTGTGAAGAATTTTAAGTGATGCCATTTCTGTGATCCAATTTTCACCATATTGTGGGAGAGTTTGATAAGTACTAATAAGAGTTAGAGTTAGGGAAATAGCTTTAAAATCTATAGGATTGAAATAAAAAAGAAAAGCTTTAACAAAAGTATTCAGTAATCCTTTTTCCTCTGCATTAGCTGTATGTGGAGAATTTTCGAACTTATACTTTTTTTCATACATTAAGCTTTTTTCTCCTTAAAATGTTTAGACTGCACTTTAGTTGGTCTTCTAGTTGTATTTACTTTCAGAGAGGCTCAGACAATTATAGTTTACTGGAGAAGTATTTTATGGAGCATTAAGCTTTATTGCTTAGGATATTGGAAAAGTAGAGGATGAATTCATGATCCTTGTGTGAGAATATAAGGAAAAGGCATTTACTTGACTGATTTCTTTAATACTTCCTTAAAAGCTCCCCTATTTTTATGTTTGGTCTGTAAGTTGAATCCTTGTGCTGACATATTACCATATTAATTGCCCAAAATGTTTGTTGGACCTTTTATCACAATCTGACTGTCAATCTCACAAACTCTTTTAGTAAATAAGGTTGCTGATTTTTCACTTTTGTTGACATTAAGATATAATATTATTGTGCTTGACGACGTTTCATATAAAGATGACTGATTTTGGAGCTGGATCGTGCAAAAAGTTGTGTTTTTTTTTTTACCTCTGTGAACCTTAGACCTGCCAAATTGGTTAATTAAGGCATTGGGCTATACTCAAAGGTGTTTTTGGCTTCGTATGGACTATGATATGTTTGTCAAGGTTGTGCAAGGGTTGGCTTGTCTATTGGGTGTCAATATGCAATTTGTCTTGCTTTGAGGTCCCGTCTTTTTATTTCTCTGGTTTTATATCAAGGGCTTGACTTCCCATCTTAGGGCTTGGTAATCTGGCCAAGTTAACTATAAAGTACATTCCAGTCTTTGAAATCGATGTGGTCTGTTAGAATCCCACATTGATAGGGAAAAGGGGTGGGCCTTTGGTTTATAAGGAGTTGGGAACTCTCCCTTGGCAAGCTGGTTTTCCAAGAAGAGTTCCACCCAAACCCATAAAAGGACCATTTCCCAGCCCAATTTCTATCAAAGGCCCACTGTCCAGCCTAATTCCTATCAATTTGGGAGTGAGTTCCTATCAAATGGTATCAGAGCAGGCCCTACTTTCTGAGTCCATGCAGCATGGCCCAGTGGGCCCCCCTAGGGGCTGAGAAGGGGAGTTGCTAACAGGCTTCTAGGCAAAGTAAGATCCGAAGGGAGGGCAATAAAGCCGACGAGAGTGCGATAGTCGATGAGGGCAGGTGCTCTCTAGAAAGAAGACCAATGAGGGTATTGGGCCTCGAAGCGTGGGGGAATGTTAAGATCTCACATTGAGAGGGAAAAGGGGTGGACATGTGGTTTATAAGGATTTGGACACCCTCCCTTGGCAAACCGGTTTTCCAAGGAGAATTCTACCTAAGCCCACAAAAGGACCGCTGTCTAGCCCAATTCCTATCAAAGGCCCAATGCCTTACTTGACCAATTCCTATCAATTTGGGAGTGAGTTACTACCACCCGTCTTCATTTGGAAAACTTGAAGTGTGAACTACCACCAGAATTCTTTTATATAAGCGTGTAATGTGTACTATTGGCCATTGGCAGTTTTGTTGTTAATGCCTATTCCTGATAAGAAGAAAAAGACATACTGCTAAAATCTCATGTCTCTTCTGAGTAGTTAATGAGGTTGACAAAGTACGGATCGGTAATTGTATGGAAATGATATATTACCCACAAGATTATAAGTCTTTACTGTTTAAGAGGCAGTAATCAGCAAAGGAATGTTAGACCCGGTAGAATGAAGAAACAAGACTATATTCTTCAGGTTCTACTGCTGCTTGCTTTTTCAGTCTTTGCCATAACCAGATATTGCTTTTCTATGCATCTTTTTTACTGTTTGAAGCTATTCCATATTAACAGGATTATAGAATCTTAAAGCAAAAGATGATATAATCAATATTTGAGGACTGTTACCATTATTAGTTAAGATTAATGGTTTAGTTAATGATTAACTGAAGTACAGAAGTATGCACCAAAGTTTGATCTGCGTATGCCTAACAGACTAGAGGGAAACTCTTCCTGGATGGCTTGGTTTTGTGCAAAGTGGATCCACATATAGGTGTTAGGAGTCATCTGGTAAATTGTCAAAGGATTTGCAAGGATGAATGGAAGGCCAAAAAGGATGTGCTCAATTGGGTTTGACTTGGTTTAGGGTATACATTTAGACTGAATTTCACCATGGTTTTCTTGAAAGGTTTGATCCGGAACTGATTGAATAATTTAGCAACAACAAATCTAGCCAAAGTATTTTGGTTGCTTTGCTATTGGATTTTAGACATGATTGTTGGGGCTGAGGGAAGAAATTTGTTGTGTACATATTTACCTCAATGTAATAAAAAGATGATTATACTCGTCGTCTCACTGAAATTTATACTTCTGATGCAGTGATATTATACGTGGAGTTGTTTACTGTTGAAAGGTTTCAGTGTTCAATTAAAGCTGAATAAGAAGCAATGGAATGGTGAGAGTTGATGTTTACAGCTGACCCAAAAGGGAACATTTTTGTTTTCTTAGACTAAATATGCATATGGAGAGGTGAAAATACACATTACACACAAAATGCTACAATTTGCTTTTGTGATAAGGATTATCATCTAAAGCATTTCTTATAAAAGCACTCCAAAATCACCTTATGAATAGCCCTCTGGTCCTAATCTCTCTGTGGCATGAAAAGTTTAGCTGCCATAACACACTTACCGGTTAATAATCATAGCTGAACTGCAATGATTTTAACTGACAGTTGATGGTTAACATTTTAAGGAATGCAAAGTAGAATTGCGAGGAATGATGAGCTAGATTAGAAATTCAAGACCAGAGTCTACTTGATCTGAGTTGCTTTCCTAGGATATGGAGAAGGCCAAACAGAATGGGCATTGCTAAAAGGCAGAACATGATGGGGCACAATAAAATAGAAGCAATCACCTTAGTATGACGGTTTTGTAAGGTAGTGTGCTGTATAAATTATAATAATAACCATTTCGAGTTGCACTCACGCTTACAGTTGCACTTGCCCTAAATAATCCATAATGAGTTGAGTTGGGTTATATATCCACGTGAGTAAGTTTTTAGGGGAGAAACTCTAGTGCTGTATTACATAAATTTGAAATCAAGTCTTAACAAAAACTACTACTTTTTATAATATAATGAAATGCCTAGGAGAAGATTTTGAAATATATTATATCAAGAAGTAAATTGTCAATCTGTTTAGGTTCTGTGTGATTTTACGGAAAAGTAAATGTGAGAAGGGGGTTAATTGCTCTTTTCTCGCAACAGCCTGTAAGATTTTGTTCTTTCATGAATACCTGAAGTACTGTTGTAAAAAGATGCTTTTGCATTTATCATATATGTTAGTAACATATAAGTATTTTTTTTTCTGACACCAGAGATCTGGGATGCACTTCGAGCTGCCGCTGAAGCTGATCTAACTCTTGCTCAAGCTATTGTTGACAGTGCAGGGGTCATCGTTCAAAATGCTGATTTGACAATTTGCTATGATGAAAGAGGTATTTTCAGATAACGTTATCAATCTTTGAAATATTTTTTCTTTATCTTGAAATCCTTGCTATGCTCTCATATTTCCTTCTTGCAGGTGCAAAATATGAACTACCCAAGTATGTTTTGAGTGAACCAACGAACTTAATCAGAGAAGGTTAAAATAGGGAGATAGTGTGTATCTTGTGCAAGATTTGATTGTATATCATGTATATTGTTCTCTCAATCTCCATATTTTCTCTCCTAAAATCATGGTCTGACCTCTTCGTTTGTGCTCATTTGGACTGCTTTCAAGCCTGTTGTGAGTTTCTCTGGTTAACTGAACTCTCTTTGGATTTTGTAAAAATGGAACGAACCAGTTCTAATTTTTCTGCTAAAATATTGTTTAGGCTGGTAGATAGTATTAAATATTAATAGTTGTTTGAAATTCCGTCTGCCAACATTTAGTTTCCTGTCTTAAATGGGCTATTAATACCATCTACCATCGTGAAAAGACGACTCTAAGTTTGTGTTGAGTGATTAAAGTCGACTGTCTTTTTGGGATCTTTTACTTGGGATATCATAGTTTACGAGTTTCTTGGCTACAAAATTTTTGTAGAGTGGCTCTGGTTAAATTATTCCTTTTTTTTATATATTTTTCTTTATTTAAAGCCAGTTGAAATGTGCCAGCTCTATATTTTGTGGAATTTAATTGGAATGAAATATGAAAAATTATAGAAGTTAGCAAACGGGGGAGCTTCAAACGAACCGTAAGGTATGTAACTGAGATTGAAATATTATCGGGGGAAGGCCTGCCATCTTAATTTTTAGTATTATTTGAGATGTATGAAATTCAGTTTGTAATGAAATATAAAGACTCCTTTAAAGTTTAAACTAGTTGAAAAACAAAAATACCCACAAGTTTGAATACTTTATATCAGCACATTTCTGATTGATCTTTATGTGACCGGAGTCAGCAATGGCAAAATTTTCCCACATGCACGAATTAGTGGCCGTATTGTGAAATTGATAACATCTCTAGATATGATCCTTTTTATTACCATACTATCATTTACTGCTAAAACTTACCAATGACTCCCATTAACTACAAATTATATGTACCAAAACTCAAAAATCAAGTGCTTCCGAATTCAGTAATACCATCAAGCAATAAATCTTAAATTTTAGTTTGCAGCCCGCCATTTATTGTTTTGTTTTATTTATGACTATGTATTCAACGCTATTTATTTATAAATTTCTTTTCACAAATTCATTAAAGAGAATGGTTTACAGGTTAGTCTGATTAATAATATAGAGGAATCCCAGCAAACCCCGCATTAATGAACGGTGGAGCTCCATTTTATAAATTGGGATCGTACCAATTTACTCAACCGTAACTTAAAACTAGCCAAAGCCTTGCATTTAGACAGGAAAATACACATACACGTTATGTGGGTGTGCAAAACACTCTTCTACCAAACCCCAAAAAAGAAATAAAAGAAAAGAGTTACATGAGTGAAACTTGAGTTCAGTCTCCTCAGACCTTCTTGAAGAATGATAGAATGTTGCCTTGCTTAGGGTCCTTCTGTTTCCCACCTTTCTTCGTTCCTGCTTTGCTTCCTGGATTTGATGGTGCGGTGCTTCCTAATGCTGGAGACTTCTTAGCTGGTGGCGGCCTGGTATAAACCCAACATTTCAATTTTAGAACATGGTTCCGGGCATAAAACTAACAAATACGACCAAAATAAGAGTACTGATCTCCAAAGCGAAGAATTAAATGCCTACCCATATGATTGCCCAATTATCCAAATTTAAACTCTAACCTGGTGCTATTATTGGTGACTGTATTACTGTCGGCTTTCTTTGTTGGATTACTGTCTGCTTTCTTTGTCGTCTCACTACTGTTAGCTCTCTTGATTTCGGTTTCCTCACCCTCCCAAACGACTTCCGTTACTGGCAAGGAAAAAACTGAGATGACCAACTAATGAAAGCATATACACAACAATTAAAATCAATTCTAAACAACAGAATTAACTTAAATTAGGGCTAGAATAAAATGTAAAGCTTCAATATTAGTATAAAGAAAAGGAAAAACATGGGTATACCTTCTCTCCCTCGCTCGTCAATCCATGTCTTCAACACTTTCTTTCTTGTAGGGGACTTAGGAACAGAATTTTCCACTTTATCCTTATTTATGTCCTTTTGAGGAACACAATTTTGGGTCTTCTCCGTAAAGGAAGTTTCAGTCTTCATTCGTTTGCTGACTGCTGCAGAATTTTCCCTTGGTGATTGGTTGGACTCTCCATTAATTTCTTTCTCTTCCTTGGCTTCTGATTTATCTTCTTTCAGCTCATTTGGTGTCAGATCTGGTTTTCCAATGACCAAAAGTTTTTTACTTTCTTTTGGATATAGATCTGATTTTCTTTTTGGAGGATCTGGGGATCCCAAATTGACAGCATCTTCACACTCATCTTCATCTGATAAATCCAAAACCACCTTCCTTTTCCTATTTCCTTCACGACTGGCGGCTCTCCTGAAATTGACATCTTCAGCATCATCATCACTACAGCGGTTCTCTGCTGCCTCACGAACAGATATTTGTGCTTCTGCGCTAGCTAATAGCATGAAAAAGAATAGAAGGGAAGAAATGAGTCAGCTAAGAATATCCTAGATTGTAGAGTTGTAGACTATAAATTTGCATAAAATAATTAATAAACAGAAATAATGCATTACAGTTAAGCACCAAACTCTTAGGTTTACAACAGAGGATAAAATCAAATGGGACAAACCGGTAGAATTTGAAACTAAATTGTCTGCTGCTGCAGAACTGGGCTTTGCCTTCGTAGATGCACGACCCCAGAAATTTGCTAACGAACCACCAGTACCAGAAGAGCTTTTATCATTCTGGCTTTTCTTTTTACTAGCAGGCAAAGGATTTAATTTTTCTTTGGCGGCAGAAGGCTTGGCCTGATCATGAACTCCTGTACTGTTACTTTCAGCTTTGACATCTTTTACCACATTTGGGGACAGTGGACCAACTTTTGGGCTTGATTGCTGAATTTTATTTTGCTGAGGTGGAGGAACTGAAATCTTTTGACCTGTATAATTACTTTTAGACAGCTGTGGGATCCCTGAACTTTTGGGCTGTACATGAGCAATGCTTACAGAAGTTCTATCAACACTGCACTTCACAAAGGAATTTGAAATCCCACAGAACCTGATGAAAATAAACTTCTTTTAGTATCAAGCAAGGAGTGCCAGAGTATGCACTTCTATAGTAGTCTGATTGAATGTCTAACTGTAACACTAGCATATAATGTTCCTTTAGAGCCATGTATCAATGAATAACTTACCAATCGTTTATCGAAAGATTAAAAAAGTTTGTTTCTATAGTTACCTTTCCCTTATGTGCTTACCTTTGAAAGGAATAACCACAAGTATAGATATTTTCGAAAACTGTTTCTCTTGTCAATGAAACAAGAGGAACGTTCTATGAATGAAATCTGAATATGGATTGATTGATGAAATCCATCAGTTTTAAGGTTCCCATAAAATGACGCATGGAATGGAGTCAATAAGAAGAAGTTCAGGGATTTATGAAGGAAACTTTCAGTCCATACTGGTTATGGGTTGAGAACTGGAATCTCACAAATTGCAGGGAGGCTTCACTACAATAATTAGTTTTACTAAACAATTCTAATAGCTAGCTGGTTCCAAATTACACTTGCCTTCAAACAGTTCCACTGAAATCCACTACCTCAGAGGAGATGGATATTTTGACAGGTTAGGCATCCCCTTAATAATTAAGGTGACCAACCAAACTGGAACAGCAACATTTATTGCAAGATTAAAATATCTGATAGACCTCCCGTTAAGCATGTTTACAAATACAAAGGGCATAAGGGACAATAGGGTCAGAAAGGGGTAAAGAGTGTGAGGTGCTTGCTGTTAGTTGTTAGAGAAATTGGTTACAGCCACGTGTGAAGGGAAATCAAAGTTGTTAGTAGAATAGGCAGTCATGAAGGTAGTATAAATAAAGGGTCAGTTTTGGTGAAGGGCAGGGAGATCAAAATAGTGTCATTGTGGGAGGTCCCCAGCTCCTCAAATTGCTGGGATCTATCTGTTGAGTTTATCAATTGTTGTGGTGGTTCTTTGCTTTTCTCCATTAATATACTTGGTTGAGGCTTGTTTGGGGTGAACATATTCTGTTATCTTGTACTGTTTGGCTATTGTTTGTTATCAGTGCAGGGAGTCTCATCAATGGTATCAGAGCCAAGGTTGAGGAACGGTAAAAGCGGAAATGGAGACTAGGATGGGAAACGTGGAAAAAGATATGAGATCGATGAAGGAAGATTTGAGAACGATCAAAGAGTGCTTGAAGGAGATGCTAGCATGGATGAGGCGAAAGGAGGAGGAGGAAACCAAAGGAGTTAAGAGGGATGGGTCAACAGAAATAGCGGTGAAACAGAATCGAAACCAAGGGGAAGAGAACAGTGAACCCAATGCAAACCAAAACGGCAAACCCATAGTTACTGAACGAAATCGACCAGAGTCCGATGGCCAGAGAATCGAAATACCGATATTCATGGGGAAGAATCTGTACGTTTGGTTATTCAAGATAGAAAGGTATTTTAAGGTGTATCAGGTGGCTGAGAACGAGAGGTTGGCCACGGTGGCCGTTTGCATGGAGGGCGACTCGATCAATTGGTTCCAGTGGATAGAGGTGCGAGCTNGAAATCCACTCCCTCAGAGGAGATAGATATTTTGACAGGTTAGGCATCCCTTTAATAATTAAGGTGACCAACCAAACTGGAACAGCAACATTTATTGCAAGATTAAAATATCATTGGCACATTATGATATGACATTCAAAAAGTAAAAGATCTTCAATATATTTGATTCTATATAGCACTATAATTTCAAAATTCACAGAATTCCAGAAACTGAAGCTTCAATAGGAGCACAGAAAGAAAAAGTTCAGAATAAGACAGTCAAAATCTTACCTATTGTAAACAAATTTGTTCAAGATATAGAGCTGCTAGGGAAACATAGTTCACAAAGAATATGAGAGATAACACTTCATGCAAAAAATTGAAGGCAGTATGGGCTGACAACCTCTCAAATTTCTAAATCAATGAAGCAGAAACGATAATACAAAGGTATCAGCATACCTATTATCTCTCAAACAATTATCAAGTGAAGGCTGCTTAAAGAGCTCTTCAGCTTGTACAAATTCAGCATTCCAAAGTGCAGCTGGATCCTTTGGGATGCTAGCTTGCACACTATAAACTTGAACTGAGCAGTTTCCATCAAATTCTTGCTTGACTTCTGCATGAAAGTCAGGAGAATAGAAGACCTCAATAATCATTATACACAATCACAGTAAATCTACTTCCCATGGTCATAAAATGCTTTTAATCCAACAATAACTAATTTAAGTAAAAGTAGTTATACTCTATTTTTTTTTTTCATGTTATGCTTCTTAACCTTAACAAATATTTCTAGAAAGAACTATAAATTACAAAATACAATTAAAATATATATGTTCCAAGAAATGGCATCTCTGTTTCTCTCTCTCTCTCTGTCAGACACACACACACATCTCTGCCCAAGTGGACCCTAATAAGTAATAACATTCAAATAGAAAATCTAACCTGCAAGTTTAGGCCCAGAAACAAGCCTTATATTATAACTCGGAGGACTGCTCTTCAACCAGCCAGATAAAGCATATACAACTTCCAGCCCACTTCCATGTTTCTCAACAAACTCTTCAAGCAACCTAAATATGGTCACCATTTACAGAATAAATAAATAATAAGAAGAACAAGTATATTCAGTACAAAAGAAAAAAAACATAAGTATATTTCTTGATAAAGAGTATGCTACCTCTTTGCAGTATTTGAAGACACCAAAAAATTGCGACTCAGCCACTTATATGAAACCTGTGACGAATTGCCAATAATCTCAAGAATTACTTTCAATTTCCAGCTTTAAAGGACCATATTTGGCTAACATCTTGAGATAATAACACAACTTAATAAGAAAAAAAAGTAATTTGCCTGACTTGTCACTCAAGGAGAACAGCTATAATATAACTTGCTCGAAGACACTATCAAAATATTAAAGGAAGTGTATCGAAATATCTATTATTGCTTTAGATCTCAACCTCAACTCGAAATATGGAAATATCAAAATATTAAAGGAAGTGTAAACACTAGACAAATACAATTTTAACACACACACGTTAGAACAAACAAAAAATCAAAAAGCCAATTCCTTTTTTTTTTCTTTCATCTATTCATCAATAAATAAATGCCCAAGAGAAATCAGAACTATAAGAAAGATAATTATCTCCACCTAGTTTGGACAATTAAGTTTAAAGGCAAGATTTTGACCAAATACCCATAAGTCTATTCACTAATTCAGCGTAAAATACACTAAATTAGCAAAACCCCAATAAAATTAGCACAACAACGCGTAATTTACCCGTGAAAAAGTACAAAGCAAGAGAAAAATTACAGTGGGTGAAGAGGAAATAGCTCGACAAACAAAGCAAGAAGAAAGTAGAAGTTACCACTTGGAGATGATCAGAGACAAGAGCTTGAATTTCATCTAGAATACCTAGGGTTTCGATTCCGGACATTGTTATGGGTTTCAGAACGAGAGATTCTTCAAGGGCATTGAGTTTTCCCGCCATTATCTGGGTCCTTGCCTTTTGTATGGGACACTAAAGTGCTGTGTTCATTCGGGTTCGGGTACTTGTGGCACGTGATCATGAGGTTAACACGTGACTCTATGAAATCCACCCAAAGAGCCCACCACAAGGCCCAGCACCAAATGAACAATATTAATTTTTTTTTAGTAGAATAATTACACATATTGATATAGAAATTATAAAAATTATTCCAGATTAATTAAAATATACCATATTTGGGTGGTAAATCACAAGTTAAGAGAAAAAAAAAAGTGTTGGAAATAACATAGAATAACATATATCCTAAAGTGATCCCAAGATCATAGTCACCATTGTAATCACATTTGTAAATAAATGAATTACAATGAATTTACACAGCATAAATACATCTTCTCCTTGTCTCTGAAGCAAAAATTGAACCTGGAAGAATCAACTGCATATAGTATCTTCTTTTCAATTTTTAGAGAGAGAGGGTGTGTTTTTTTTCTTTGCGTATTTGAGTAACAGTGAGTAACCTATTCTAAAAAGAAAAACTTTCTTTTTATATGAGAGCGATTCGTGAGAAACTGCCTCTGGCAGTTTCCACTTCTCACGTCCATTCATCATGGGTGGACTTATCTAAACGAGTTTTAAATAAAATACTGGAACTTATCCAATATCTCCCACTCACACATGATGAGACTATCTCTCTCTATGGTTCTTTAAGGTTCATACCTTAGTAAATATGCTGTGTGACCATGCATACTTCGAGAGCACATTAGTCATATATCTGTTAGGAATATAAAACTTCTCGAATTGTGAAACTCAGGTTGTATGTTGTATGTAATACCCTAGATTACTTATCACATTTTTCTAACAATCTCATTTACAATAAATATCCGTTGTATTCATAATTATGTTCTATCTTTACATAAAAGTAAAACATAATTGGTCGACCAATGAATACACGTGATTATAGTGTGATAATTCAAAATCGTAATCTTCCTCTTTTCTCGATTCTTGTAACTTTCATTTAACTTGCTTTTCTAGAAATGCCCCAGCAGATTGAATTTATCACAATCCTTTGATAACACTCTAAGATAACAATCATTAAATGAAGTTTCCAAGAAACAGAATAGAGTAATAAATGTATTCTATGAGATTTTATTCTTAAAAAAAAATTCAAGGTCTCACACAATGTTAAAGTTGAGATTTTGACTTTCATTACCCTTTTGGTCAATGTTTTGCACATGTGGTATGAATCACATGCTACAACATTTCCTCCTTTCCCATGAAGTGTATGTCTCTTTTCTTGTAAATGCTGTGCAGATTTTAGTTCAGACATACCTAATGTCTAACTTGAGTTCACTTTACATACTTTTAATTCATCAGAACTCTAATATGACAATTAGATAGATAAAGTGATTATTTATCACTTATGGTCACATTTCATTATAACATTATTTTAATTCTATTTTCTGGGTGACGTTAAACATTTTAAGCTTGACTCTCTATTATCACCTAGATAATAAGCTTAAAATCATCTCATCTCCATTCCTACGAAGTAATGGAGGCGATTGCTTGTGTGAGAAGGCCAATCTTTTAACTGCCCGACATGCTTTTCAAAATACACATATATATAATATTTACATAACTAATATGTGTGTCTATATATATAGACTTATATATATATATCTATATATATATATATATATATATATATATATATATATATATATATATTCTTCATGTATGTTCCATAATAATCTAAATTGAGCATTGACAATATTGTTATTTAATATTGATAAGACAAATGTGAACAATTTTGGGAAATCTAAAGTATAAGTATATTCAACACTACGTAAGCCTAGAGATCTAATATGTCTATTGAAAGTATCTCTTGGTATAGGCTTTGTGAATGGATCTACAACCATGTCATGGTGATACGTACTCATGTTCACCTCCTTTGTGTCACCAAGTCTTGCACAAAATATATTTGATATCTATGTGTTTCATTTTACCATGATATTTGGGATCCTTAGTGTATGTTATTGCTGCTTGACTATCATAGTTTATCTTACTAGTTCAATAGCAATTAATTATTCCTAGATAATTCATGAACTGTCTTAACCAAACGGCTTCTTGCACTGCAGCTGAAAATGCTACAAACTCAGCTCCATTGTAGATAAGGCTATGCATGATTGTTTCTTACTGCTCCAAGATATGGCCCCACCATTTAGTAAGAAAATATATACAAAAGTAGATTTCCTTTCATTAAATCTCCTCCCCAATCAGCATCAGTTAGCTCTCAAGTGTAAATCATTTCCTTGATAACATAATGAGTAATCAGTTGTCCCTTTAGATATCTTAAGATTTTCTTCACTGCTTTTCCAATGTGCTTGTCCTAGGTCAGACGGTATCTACTTACCAACCAACGGCATAACAGATGTTGCTCTAGTGCACATCATGGCGTACATAAGACTTCCAATAGCACTTATATAAGTCACTTCTCATTTGTTCCTTTTCTTGGGAGTCTTCAGACACTTTTATGACTTAAAGTCTCGCCTTTCGCGATAGGGTTGTCTATGGTTACAATCTTGCATATGAAATCGTTCAAGAATTTTCTAATGTTAGGGTTATGTGAAAGAGATACTAATTTTCTTGAGCGATCTCTTGAAATCTTGACTCCAAGAATATATGCAGCTTCACCCATATCTTTCATCTCAAAATGAGATGATAACCATTCTTTGATTTCATTGACAAATCCCTTATCATTTCCAGCTATAAGTATATTATCAACATATAATGATAATTTAACAAATTTGTTATTGGATCTCTTTGTATATACACAATGATCTTCATTTATCATTGTGAAATCATACGACATTATCGCATTATGAAATCGAATATACCACTGTCTTGAGGACTGCTTGAGGCCATAAATTGACTTTAAAAGTCTACACACTTTGTGTTCTTGACCTTCTTTAATCAAAACCTATTGGTTGATCCATATAGATTTCTTCTTGTAATTCTCCATTGAGAAAAGCAGTCTTTACATCCATTTGATACAATTCAAGATCCATGCTAGCAACTATAGCTATAATAAGTCGGATTGAGGTAAACCGCACAACAGGTGAAAAAGTTTCTTTATAATCTATTCCTTCTTGTTCTGTATACCCCTTCGCGAGTAAGCGAGATTTGTATCTTTCAATACTGCCATCAGCTTTACGCTTGATTTTGAGAACCCATTTGTTCCCAATAGCTTTGCGTCCTTTCGGTAAATCAACCAATTCCCATACTTGGTTTGATTTCATAGACTCCAATTCTTCTTCCATTGCTTTCATCCATTTTTCCAAATATATCATATTTGGGTGGTAAATCACAAGTTAAGAGAAAAAAAAAAGTGTTGGAAATAACATAGAATAACATATATCCTAAAGTAATCCCAAGATCATAGTCACTATTGCAATCACATTTGTATATAAATGAACTACAATGAATTTACGCAGCATAAATACCTCTTCTCCTTATCTTTGAAGCAAAAATTGAACCTGGAAGAATCAACTGCGTATAGTATCTTCTTTTCAATTTTTAGAGAGAGAGAGAGCGCGTTTTTTTTTCTTTGCGTATTTGAGTATCAGTGAGTAACATATTCTAAAAAGAAAAACTTTCTTTTTATATGGGAGCGGTTCGTGAGAAACTGCCTTTGACAGTTTCCACTTCTCACGTCCCTTCATCATGGGTAGACTTATCTAAACGAGTTTTAAATAAAATACGGGAACTTATCCAATAAAAAGTAATTTCATTAGCTAGAGAAGAAAATAGGCAAAATATTACTTTGGAACTTTATGTTTATTAATTGGTTTGAGGCTTTCAGCTAAGGATTTTGTTAAGAAGAGTAAACGATTTTTTCTCACTTAAATAATGGTTTGATGACATTTTTTCACCAACAAACTTTAAAATATTATTTTATTATCCAAATATATATTTTGTTTTCGATTTTAGTATCGTTGCGACCCCACATCATCATCATTCTCTTTTCCGATCATCACTCACCCAAACCCCTAAAACCCTACTCCTGATGACCTTGTCAATCGTTGACAATTGAGTGATTAGGGTTTCTGCAGCCGCTCCTTCCAAGTCAAATTCCAATCAATCTCAATCACCAAAATCCAACTTTTTATCATCAAAAAACTCATTGATCTCCTCTCTTCAAAAACCCCAACAGCCTGAACTAAGTTTATTCTCTGTTCGCCGTCAAAATATAAATTTGAATAATAAAATGGTATTTTAAAAGTTTATAAGTGAAAAAATGTCATTAGACCATTGTTTGAGTGAAAAAAATTTCGTTAACTCACCGTTATGGAAGTACCAAACAAAATTAAAGGAATAGATTAAATATTTTAAGGCAAGCTTTAATCATTTTAGACCCAGTCTAAATCAATCTTCTCATGCATACCTTCTTTGGATTTCTAATTAAATATCTAAGCTCAGATATATAATTTTATTTATAGATGAGGCCTGAGGGCCACTCGTTAGTATTTAAATTAAATAAAGAGAAATATAAAATGAGATAAATTTGGACCAACCGCGGATGACATTGCGAACTAGAACTACCGGAACTACGTACCATTTGTTTCAAAGTATTATATGCAGATATCCTCAGACGCTTTTCCAAATTGGCTGCCAGGTCCATCTACGTCATGTTTAATAATTTGATCTTCAAGTCTTACATATATTGACTCGTTCTTCAAGTCTTACATATATTGACTCGTTGCTGTATTTATATGGCAACACAGGTATACTGTATATAGCAGCTAGCAATGAACACAGCTATGAGTGTTGTTGCACATCTTATCTTTCTTCAGTTACTTGCCATGGCAACCATTAACACTAGCTTCTGCAATGGAAGCTCGGAAGCAGCGGGTTGCCTGGAAAGCGAGAGAAAAGCTCTTTTAAGGTTCAAGGAAGACCTCAAAGATTCTTCAAACAGGCTTGCCTCCTGGACTGCTGATGGAGTTTGT